GTCATTGGTAGCTTGATGGTGATAGTGTTGAATCTGTAGATTACTTTGGGCAGTATGGCCATTTTCATGATATTGATTCTTCCTAACCATGAACATGGAATGTTTCTCCATCTGTTTGTGTCCTCTCTTATTTTGTTGAGCAGTGGTTTGTATTTCTCCTTGAAGTGGTCCTTTACATTCCTTTTTAGTTGTACTCCTATGTATTTTATTCTCTTTGTAGCAATTGTGAATGGTAGTTCATTCTTGATTTGGCTCTCTTAAAGTCCGTTATTGGTGTATAGGAATGCTTGTGATTTATGCACACTGGTTTTGTATCCTGAGACTTTGCTGAAGTTGCTTATCAGTTTCAGGAGTTTTTGGGCTGAGACAATGGGGTCTTCTAGATATACTATCATGTCATCTGCAAAAAGAGACAATTTGGCTTCCTCCTTTCCTATTTCAATACCCTTTATTTCTTTTTCTTGCCTGATTGCTCTGGCTAGAAATTCCAGTACTATATTGAATAGGAGTGGTGAGAGAGAGCATCCTTGTCTAGTGCCAGATTTCAAAGGGAATGCTTTTAGTTTTTACCCATTCAGTATGATATTGGCTGTTGGTTTGTTGTAAATAGCTTTTACTATTTTGAGATACATTCCATCAATACCGAGTTTATTGGGGATTTTTAGCATACAGGCTGTTGAATTTTGTCAAAGGTCTTCTCTGCATCAATTGAGATAATCGTGTGATTTTTGTTTTTGGTTCTGTTTATGTGGTGAATTATGTTTATAGACTTGCATATGTTGAACCAGCCTGGCATCCCCAGGATGAATCCTACTTGATCATGTGGATAAGCTTTTTGATGTGCTGTTGCAATCGGCTTGCCAGTATTTTATTGAAGATTTTTGCGTCTATGTTCATCATGGATATTGGCCTAAAGTTTTCTTTTCTTGTTGAGTCTCTGCCGGGTTTTGGTATCAGGATGATGTTGGTCTCATAAAATGATGTGGGAAGGATTCCCTCTTTTTGGATTATTTGGAACAGTTTCAGAAGGAATGGTAACAGTTTCTCTTTGTGTGTCTGGTAGAATTCGGCTATGAACCCATCTGGACCTGGGCTTTTTTTGTGTGGGAGGCTCTTAATTGCTGCCTCAACTTCAGACCTTGTTATTGGTCTGTTCATAGTTTTGACTTCTTCCTGGTTTAGGCTTGGGAGGACACAAGTGTAAGGGAATTTATCCATTTCTTCCAGGTTTGCTAGTTTATGCGCATAGAGTTGTTTGTAATATTCTCTGATGATGGTTTGAATTTCTGTGGAATCTGTGGTGATTTCCTCTTTATCGTTTTTTATTGCATCTATTTGGTTATTCTCTCTTCTTTTTTATTAATATGGCTAGTGGTCTATTTTGTTGATCTTTTCAAAAATCCAGCTCTTGGATTTATTGATTTTTTGAAGGGTTTTTCGTGTCTCTATCTCCTTCAGTTCTGCTCTGATCTTAGCTATTTCTTGTCTTCTGCTAGGTTTTGAGTGTTTTTCATCTTGCTCCTCCAGCTCTTTCAATTTTGACGATAGGGTGTCAATTTTGGATCTCTCTGCTCTTCTCATGTGGGCACTTATTACTATATATTTTCCTCTAGAGACTGCTTTAAATGTGTCCCAGAGATTCTGGTATGTTGTGTCTTCATTCTCCTTGGTTTCGAAGAACTTCTTTATTTCTGCCTTCATTTCATTGTTTACCCAGTCAACATTCAAGAGCCAGTTGTTCAGTTTCCCTGAAGCTGTGCTGTTCTGAGTTAGTTTCTGAATTCTGAGTTCTAACTTGATTGCACTGTGTTCTGAGAGACTGTTTGTTATGATTTCAGTTCTTTTGCATTTGCTGAGGAGTGATTTACTCCCAATTATGTGGTCAATTTTAGAGTAGGTGTGATGTAGTGCTGAGAAGAATGTATATTCTGTGGATTTGAGGTGGAGAGTTCTGTAAATGTCTATCAGGTTTGCTTGTTCCAGGTCTGAGTTCAAGTCCTGGATATCCTTGTTAATTTTCTGTCTGGTTGATCTGTCTAATATTGACAGTGGAAGATTATAATGATAATAGCTCACTGAAAAAGGCTTATGGATGTGAAATGTGCTTTTGAGAAATAAATAAGAAGGAAGGTAATGCCCAATGAAGAACTTCATCACATTCTGACTGTAGCCATATGTTCATGAAATTGACAGGGAACATTCTACTGCAAAATGTCTTTATATACTGTATACTAACAGAAGAAAAAACCTATAGGAGAAGCAGCCAGGCTAGCTATATTAGTTTTATGGATAAAAAGAAGGGCAGCATTTCTAAAAGGTCAATGAGTAAACAAGTTATTCATGTCAGTTAACAATATCACCTTGACAGCTGAACAAAACATAGAAAAATCTGTGTTTTTATATCATTCAACTTCCAAATTAGCAAATACTTTTACATGAAGTATTACTTTTTGTATATTCAATAACAGATACAGTATAACTAGTAGAAGACTTATTTCTCTCCAACTTCGAAAGCTGTGAATAAATAAACATGCTAGTGACCTATCAGAGATAAGTATTTATTTGACATCTGGTGTAAAATATTTAAACTATAGCTGTATTTTGCACACAGCATCTAAATAGGAAACAGTGTTCTATTTTTATCTCCTATAAATTAGACATAAAATGTATATAGTCTGAGATTTTATTTTTCTCTTTTGGGAGTAACTTTAAACTCTAAGAAAAACTTGCTTGTCCCCAAGGAAGTGTAGTGTACCAAATCAAGACAAATGAACTTCAAATTTGGTCTCCTCAATAGTTTGTAAGGACATGAAGCAGTAACACATGAAATTCTAATAGGACCAAGTTATCTTTGCCTACTGAACACTCGAAAATGAATCAGCATCTAAGCACTGTGGAAGAAGAAAGAATATCTAAACTATAGTGACAGTGAGAATTTACATAAGATTAATACTATGTGATAGTCAAAAGGCATAATTTATATTAAAATAATTGGGAGGCTCTCTGCTATCCTTAATTATATAGTATTTTGTGTTGCGTTGGTTAGGTGAAGATATTTGAAGAAATTCAAAAACAGAGCTATAGCATATGGAAAGGACATCATAATCTACAGAGGTGCAAGCTGACCATTCTTTATGTAAGCAGATGAGGAAAAATCAGGCAGCTTTAAACAACCAGGAAGTAAAGGGAATTGCTCTATTAGGTATATCAGCTTGATAATACACCCACAAATTATGTCCATTAACCACAATAGAAAGCAACAATATTTTCTCCCCAAAGTATTATTTTCAGTGTTTCTAATGCCAGGGAAATAATGTTCCTATTTTCAGAATAAGCAATATTTTCAAGTTTTATATAAAGCATATACCTTTTACAGAAAGGTCATCACAAATGACCAAACACAAACAAAAATTCTGTCTTTTTAAATGATGAGGGGCCAAAAAATAATATGAGTTTAAAATAAGTAAAGAATTTTCTCATTATGTGAGTCATATTCATCTGCAGCTCTAATTTGCTATTCAAATACCATCCTCATAAATATAGACATATTGGCCAGCTATCAGCATTCATGGTCTGTCTCTATTACCTATATCTATAGATCTCTGTGTCTCTAGATCTGTAGACCTTGACGGTCAGAATGGGTAAATGAGGTGCTAAGAAAAAAAAAAGAAAAGAAAACCAAAAAAGATAGCGATTGTTTCAAAAGATAAGACAACAGAATTAGTGATTATGGTGTCTAGGCCCAAATATTTCTAATAAATTCATCTCATTAAATTTATTTCAGTTCTCTACATAATTTGAAGAAATAAATGAATTGTGTTTGCTCAAACATTTAATAACAAGAACAGTATGGCCTATAATTATATATTCTTGTACATATTCATTTATATATTGTCATGACATATTTATATGTGACTACAGACTTGGTTAACATGTAAGAGTAAATTGCAGTAAGATGCCTCCACGAATGGGGTAAAAATGCACATTTCAATGAATGTAAGTATATAATGAACACCTACAATCAGATAGTTTGTGATAAATAAAATCTTACAAGCCATTGAAGTTTCAATGCCAAATTTCATGAGTTGAGTACTCTTAATTTAGATTGAGATAACATGTATTAGATTTACTTCTTGGAAAATATGCCCAAGTAAAACAGAAATTCTTGAATTATGGCCCAGAATAAGTCACATAACAATGGCTGAAGAAATCTAACAATCTAGAAGTTCTAATGGCTTAGGAAACAACTGAAGTTATGTCTGTAGGAATACAAAATTATATAAGATTATAACCTCTGTCAATCAATCCATCAGGCTCATATATTTGTTGATAAATAATACAGCCACAAGACAAAGAAGACTGTATATAATTGCAAATCATTTACCACTTTTACTTTGATTTTTAAAAGTAATAGTAAAATTAGGAGGTACAAAGTTAAACGTTTTTCAGCAAAAGATGTCCATTGGCTTTCCATCACACTTAGAATAACTATCTCACATTTCCTGCACTCCAGGCTAGCAGACTTTGTGCTGGTCTTAGAACATATTAGGTACATTAAAAGGGCATTTGTTGCTCCCTTTGCTTGGAATGCTTTTCCCCTGGATGTCTTCATTCAGATCCCTGTTCAAATTTCACCTCTTCAGGAAAAACTTCATAACCACTCTATCAAATGTAGCACTCTCTAGCCTACTTAATTTTTTTTAAATAACATTTTTAACAGCAATTTTTTTCATAGCATCTGGCATTCATTATATGGATTTTGCATTCTCTCCAATTCCCTCCACTAGAATGGCCAGGGATGTGATTTGTTCACTGATGAATCTTTACAATCTTTTGAAGGATTAATTTACCAAACAGCAAAAACTGGAAGATTAATATTAAAGAATGTGCAACTTTATCTCAGTGCTATAAATATTATCTTTCCATATAAAATATAAGTATATATTATATAAAGAGTATATAATATAGCTAAATTAAAATAAGCACAAAATATTCCTTACCTGAATTTCTAAAATCATTCTGTCAATCTCATCTTGTTGGCTGTCTATTATCTAAAACAAAGAAATAAATATGTCTGATTCAAGTAATTTTTACATTGTTTCTTAAAAGTACCAACATTTCAAGAAAACATAGAAATTTATTTTCTAAAAGGGTTTTTTAAAAACTGAAAAGTACCCCTATGATATGGATCATACACGTATAAAACTACAAAAGGCTTCCTCGAGTTCTTGATAAAATTTTTCTCAAATTTATACAATTTTTAATAATAACTTTGAGACTGAATAATTAAGGAAGGGGAAAGAAATCGTTTTGTTTTGGCTTTTATTTCAGTTATTTAATTTTGTTTGAATTGCTATGTTCCTTTCAAATAAAAACATTCAAACTAAAAATCATATAACTGATTAAATATTAAAAAATAAATCACATAAAGAAGCTATAAATTATGTATCTATATATACACATCCACCTAGAACAGATTTCATGTTTATTATCAAAGGTATCTACTGACCTTACTAGCAGTCTCATTTTGTTGTCTGAGATTATCGTTTTCATTCTGAAGCTGTTTTGCATCTAACATGGGAAGGCGGATTCCATCTTCAAGGCACCTTTCTACTTTTTGTTGCAAACTGTTTCAAAAGACAATTATAAAGCTCCATTTGCTGATTTTGGTAATGATTTTAACATAAATGATGTCCTTTTTTGGGGTCTATAATACTTTTTAATCAAGCAATAATCAAGACCCACAGACAGTATATGAAAAGTGTTACCTATATCTTATACAAGGAGGGTCCATAATTAGCTAGAGACTGATCATCTTTTCAGAAATGGCAAATTTGAGACCAGAGTCCAGAGTTGTTCATTATGTGACATCCTTAGGCCCCAATGAAGTCCTTCATTACCCCAGTCTGAGCTCTGAAGTCTAACTCGTGTTCTTTCCTTTTCCTCTAAAAGCAGAATTCCTTGATTAAGATGATTGTTGCAGGGAACCTAAGAATATGGACACGCATCTTTTGTCCTTTATTCTAAGCTCAGCAAAAGTTTGCTTGTAAGGATAGCTGTTGCCTAAATTACATTTCTCTTTCATTTTTTTTTTGTTTTGTTTTTTTCTTTAACTTTTATTTTAGTTTTAGGGGTACACATGCTGGTTTGTTACACAGATAAACTCGTATCATGGGGGTCTGCTGTACAGATTGTTTTGTCACACAGGTACTAAGGATATACTACCGAAGTTGTTTTTTCTGTTCCTCTCCCTCCTCCCACCCTCCACCTTCAAGTAGGCCCTAATGTCTTGTTCATGAGTTCTTCTTCATTCTTTATAACTTGACAGAACACTTTCTTATGCTATCCATGGAACACAGTTGGATTTCAGAAGAGAAAACAACAAAAATAAGACTCTCTGCAGATTCAAAATAAAAAGACAAAATGGGTGAAGGGGGAAGGTGCTAGAAAGGAAGAACAGTAATGTTTGATTAAAAGAAGTCACATCATTAGACAATAATTACTAAACCAAAACCAAATTAATAGCAGCAAGAAACCAAAAATAGCTCTACTTTAGCTTGTAATCATATTCAAGCATTGCAGAGTAATAAAAGGAAGACTTCTTATTAGTTAGGTTTTGAAAAAAATTTTTAAAGTATTTTCATTTTTTTTTCAAGAATTATGGCTAATCTGTGCTTTGTCTTTCAAAAAAAAAGAAGAAATGCCCTATCTAGATTGTGAAAAGAGAACTGATAGTCCTAGATGGTACAATAAGCACCTCAGATATGTTTATAAATAATGGCACCAAAGACATTTGTAAATATTATCAATGTAGTGTACTGTTGTGTAATACGTTGTCATAAAAGTATTTGCCTTTTTCAGTCTAAAGTACAAAACAAATTATTTCTATTTCAGAATGAGTTTTTTTGTCTTTTGGAGCCAGCTATGAAGACAGGAACTCTCTTTAAGGCAAAATACCCAATACATTTTCTTTCATGTACACAGTTTGAGGTTCTATAACATGTTCAATTCAAGAAGTAAAGAATCTCTTAAATACAAATGGTACCTACTATCACATTACTAAGGAACTCACCCACCTTTTAAAATTTTCATTTCTAATAGGAAGTTTTTCTTATTTAATTTATATGTTGCAAAAGTTCTTAAGTATTCACAGAACAGGAAGCTTAGAAATATTCATAGTCACATAAACATCTGAAGTTCTTTTGGAACTCAATAAATATTATAAAGCTGAGGAAACTGTGATATCATCCTCATACCTTTGATCTTTTTATCTATTTGAAATCAAGATAAATTTTCTGAGATGGTATCATCTCTGATAGTATCAAGATGAAATTTAAAAGTTGAAAATGTTTTCTGAGATGCACTGTACTAAATCTTTCTAAAACAAGAATACGAGGCTGTTTCCACAAAACCTAATAAAAGATAAAGTCTAAATAAAAAAGAAAGTATACAATCATATTAATTGGTAAAAGCACACAATGGAACAATGCAACATTTAAATTATTTTTAGGTGTTGCTAATTCTGTTCTTAAAGCAACACAGCTTAAATTTATAATAATGATCTGCATGACAGAACAGATATAGTGACTCTTCCTTTTATGAATAAAGATGAAAAAAAAAAGCTATATGGTTGAATTAGTGAAGATCAGGAAGCTGTTTTGGCACTAAAAAACAGGGCATAAGATGTAAAGTTATAAAAAGGAAAATTTAAAAACAAGAAACAGAAAATAGCAGACAAAGAAGTAGAATTAAAGGTTTATGATTTTTTTGGAACTGAGATGTGGAACACAGAAAACTGGATTGTCCCAGAAATCAGAAACTTTTTGCATTGAAACCCAAGGAAAAAAGTAGGACAACGCATATTTCAGACTGAAAGTAGTAGTAAAGCAATATTAACATGAAATAAACATGGAATCAGATGAATTTTTATTTAAAAGCTAAGAATAAATGGAATTGCATAATTGATATAAGCATGAAGATTGTATATCTTGCACTTCATTTCTGTTGCTTTGTTGTTTTATTATTCAGGATAGTTTTATTTATTTATAGCTGGTAATATTAAGATTTAAGTTTTGCAAAACAGAAAATCCATGTCTATATATATAAAATCCTTAGGTTTTTCAGGGATCCAATATTAATTTCCAGGTTTAATAAACACAAATTGAATTTGCAAATGATATTCCTTGTAATTATAACCGTATTAATTGACTACTATGTGGGAAGATACGTAGCAATTCTGGAAGATATATGGCAAAACTGCCGTATCTTTTACTTGCAGAAAAGTGAAATAGAAGTCAATTATTTCAATTTGATATATTCCATTAAGAAGTACAGTTTGGGTATTTTGCTGGCCCTTGTTACTTAGAATTTTTACTTTCTATTTAAAATATGCCATTAAAGGGTTTGTATTAATATTTTCAGTCTTTATTTGTTTTGTATGAGTTTTTGTTTTTACTATTTTCACTGAAACTTTTGGCAAGACACCAATGCATTGCTTCAAAATGTTAAATTACAACTGAGACAACCTGTTTCAAAGAAATTATGCTTCCGGTTCTTAATACATGTTGAGCATCCCTAATCCAAAATCTTAAAATCTGAAATGCGTCAAAATCCAAAATTTTTTGAGCATCTCCTTGATGCTCAAAGGAGATGCTCATTGGAGCATTTCAGATTTTGGACTGTCAGATTAGAGATGCTCAGTGGGTAAGTACTTTGCAAATATTGAAAAATCCAAAAAAATCTGAAATCTAAAACATTCCTGGTTACAAGCAGTTTGGATAAGTGATGAGCATTGTAGTGCATCTTTAACATAAGAAGAATTAAATATAAATTATAAATTAATTTAGTTTAAGTAAAATGTTTTATAAAAATATGAATAAAATAATGTAAAGGGTTTCAGAAAATTTTCTTACCTCTGAACGGTAGTTACTAACTCCTTTTCTTTCTTTTTCTGGCATATTAACTGTGTCTCTTTATCTTGACACTGTTTTTTAATTTCTTCAAGTTTTTTTTCTGTATCTATCAAAGCCTCTTGTAAATTCTTATTCTTTTCTTCTAGAATCTGCAGCTAAGGAGAAATTTTTTACAGTTATACATGAAATATTAAATATGCTTCTATTAGAAATTATTACTGTGTTGGCAAAAATTAACAGACTTGTAGTTTTAAAAAAGCACACTATTTTATCTAGAGTGTTTAACACTCCATCTCCTCTGTGTGAAAGGCACCTAGAAGAATGGAATTACGAGGAAGACAATGGGGTTAGAAATTTGTGGAAGACAGAGAAAGGTTAATATTCTCATTTTAAATATTTGTATTTTTAATTGTGGTAGAGTGTACAGTTCAGTGTGTTTAAGTACATTGACATTGTTGGGTAACTAATCTCCAGAACTCTTCATCTCGCATAAATTGAAATTCTATATCCATTAAACAACTCCCCATCTAGCCCTCCCCCCATTCCCTGGTGACCAACTTTCTACTTTCTATCTCTGTGACTGAATTCTTAAGGTATCTCATTAAGTAAAATCATACAGTATTTGTCATTTTGTGACTAGCTTATTTCACTTTTCGCAAAGTGAAATTTCACATTTCGCAAAATGTCCTCCAGGTTAATCCATATGATAGCATGTGTCAGAATTTCCTTCCTTGTTGAGGCTAATGGTATTCCACTATATGTATACACCATCCTTTAGTTTATCCATTTATCTGGTCACGGACACTTGGGCTACTTCCACCTTTTGGCTATTGTAAATAATCATGTTATAAACATGGGTGTACAAACATCTGTTTACGACCCTTTATTGACACCCTAATGGATGTAAGGTATTTTCTTACATATTTTCCCTTGCCCTCTGTTCCTGCTCATGCAACCTCCTGCAGTCCTTAAGTTCCTTCCTGACTTTAATCTCTCTTATTTTTACAACTTATACATTAATGTAAAATAAACAGCGAATGCTACATAGGTCTTAAAGTATGCAGAGTGACACTCTATAGATTAGACTAATGAATCTCAACTGGGGGTAATTTTACTCCTAAAGGACATTTGGAAATATCTGTTGACATTTTGGGTTTAGGAGAAAGGAGAAGGAGCAGGGCTGTTGGCACTTAGTGGGTAGAGGACACATAAGTGGATATAGAAGTACACCCTTCAATGCTCAAGGCAGACCCCTGTAACAGAAAATTTTCTGCCTCAAAGTGTCAGTAGTATTGAGGTTGAGAATCCATGGCTTAGAAAAACTTTGGGAAGAGACTGAAGAGTAGATTTGGTGGATTTATAAACAAGGTTTCAAGAGAATAGGGCTCACCTGAGTTAGGAAAAAGACTCTGAGATATTGTTAAGAAAAAAAAAAGGAAGTCAGATGAGTGAATTGAGGGCACAGGTCAAGGCCTAAGAAAAAATATATATTAAAAGGTTAAGGTGAATAAAGAAAATAAATATCTAGAAACATAGTCAACAAAAAGTCTTTTTGAGCCTTGGTGAATCCTAGAGACTGCTGGAAAAAGACAGAACTAGAGGTGTGTGCATGTGTGTGTATGGGGTAGTGGTTGGCAAGACTGGTTTAGAAACTAACTTCTACAGTAGTTAAATTAGAGTTACAACACAGGACCATTAGAAAAGTAATCACTTATTAACTGACAAGAAAGATCTACTATGCATGCTTAAAGTTTCTGATTAAAATTAAGTCCCTAAAACAGCACCTAAACACATATATTTAATTTATAATTAGTCAAATTTCTTTTTTTTTGACACAGAGTCTCACTGTGTTGCCCAGGCTGGAGTGCAGTGGCGCAATCTTGGCTCACTGCGACCTCCACCGCCCAGGTTCAAGCGATTTTCCTGCCTCAGCCTCCTGAGTGGTGGGGATTACAGGCAATGCCACCACACCCAACTAATTTTTGTATTTTTAGTAGAAACAGGGTTTCACCATGTTGGTAAGGCTGGTCTTGAACTCCTGACCCCATGATCCACCCGCCTCAGTATCCCAAAGTGCTGGGCTTATAGGCATGAGCCACTGTGCCAGGCCAATTAACCAAATTTCTAAAGAGTAAACTTAAAAATAACATGTTCTCAAGTCATTTAAGGACATGAAAAGGACATTTAAGCATTTAACTTCATGTTACCTGTAGACTTTGACTCTGTACATCATCTAGAGTTGGAAGATCAGCCAGATACTTTTCCAAGGTTTCAATTCTTCTCTGCTTTTCTTTGTTTTGTTCGGATTCCTTCTGGCACTTCTTTTTCAGGCTACTGATGTATCGATCTCTAGTTTTAAGCTAGAAAACAATTATGAATCTTCAGTAGTTTTAAGTCATTAAAAGATATAACAAAACCAACACCTTAATCTTAGACACTGTTGAATTCACCAACAGTTTCAGGTTATAATGAAGGCTACTAGTAACTAAATTAAGATTTACCTTATTTCATTCTAAGATTTATACTTGCCAGGCGCAGTGGCTCACTGCCTGTAATCCCAGCCCTTTGAGAGGTTGGGGCAGGCGATTCACCTAAGGTCAGGAGCTCCAGATCAGCCTTACAACTTTATTTCATTCTAAGATTTCTAAGTTTCAGGTTATAATGAACTCCACTAGCAACGTCGATAAAATTAAGATTTATCGATGAAAAGGTGACATTTGCTTACTCACACGCGCCATGCACAGCCCTGATCGTTTGCTCCCATTCACGCGGACTCGCTCTCCAGCAAGCCAAGCTGAGCCTGGGCATCTGAAACTACTGGACCAACTGCCCCCTGACTGCAGGAGCCACCTGCTGGCCCCGCGCAAACTGCCGCCAGTCCCCCTGCCCTGGGGCTGCGGCCCTGCAGCTGGGGACTATGATCTCCATCTCGAAGATGGCCGAATAGCAACAGCTCTGGAGTGCAGTTCCCAGCCAGAACAAGGCAGAGGGTGAGTGAACACTGCATTTCCAAACAAATTTTCACTGCCACAGACCAGGAGATTCCTGGGCTGAAAAGTACCAGAAGTTACGAGCACGGCAGATGGCGCGGCGGGTCTCCACATAAAAACTCACACAAATATGGGAAGCCCTTTCGACTGGCACCTGAACACCTGGGTGACAGAGCCGCCTATTCAACTGAAAAAAAGGGGGCTAAAACAGGTGAACTGGCTCGGTGGGTCCCACCCCCGCAAAGACCAGCAATCTGAAATGCTCTGGATTGAGAGTTTCGCAGCAAGCACTGGACCTGGTACGGTATAGCTCTACTGGGAGAAGGACATCCAGTATTACTGAGGCAGTCCACCACTACTGAGGAAGACTGACATTACTGAGACAGTTCTAACTATACCTCCATAAACAAAACCACAAGGAACATCACACAGCAGCTGGGCAGAACCCATGGCAGCTCAGCAACACCTCTGCTGGCAGACTTTGACTAGGCTACCTCCTTGCTGGACAGGCAGCTCTGAAAAAAGGCAACAGCATGTAAGAAACTTATAAATAAAGTCCCATCTTCCCAGGACAGAGCACCTGGGGAAAAAAGGCAGTTATGAGTTCCGCTTCAGCAGACTGAAACATACCTGCCCAGCAGCTCTGAACAGAACAACGGAGCCACAGCTTAGCACCTGAGCTCCTATAAGGGACAGACTGTCTCCTCAAGCAACTCCCCGACCTCCATGTAACCAAAGAGACACCTCATAAAGGAGAGCTCAGGCTGACATCTGGTGGCTATCCTTCTGGAAGATAACAGAAGAAATGCAGCAACCCTTACGGTTCTGCAGTGGCTACTGGTGATCCCCAGGCAAGCAGTGTCTGGAGTGGACCTCCAGCAGTCACACAGTAGAGGGGCCTGACTCTTAGAAGGAAAACTAAAAAACAGAAAGAAATAACTTCATCATCAACAAAAAGGGCATCCACTCAGAGACCCCATCCAAAAGTCATGAACTACAAAGACCACAGGTAGGTAAATCCACAAAGATGGAAGGAAACCAGCACAAAAAGGATGAAAACACCCAAAACAAGAATGCATCTCCTCCTCCAAGGGATCACAATTCATCACCAGCAAAGGAACAAACTGGATGGAGAATGAGCTTGAAGAATTGACAGAAACAGGCTTCAGAAGGTAGGTAATAACAAACTTCTCTGAATTAAAAGAACATGTTCTAACCCAATGCAAAGAAAATAAGAACCAAAACAGGTTAGATGAAATGCTAACGAGAATAAACAGCTTAGAGAAGAATATCATTGAATTGATGGAGCTGAAAAACAACACGAGAACTTCGTGAAGCATATACAAGTTTCAATAGCTGAACCGACCAAGCAGAAGAAAGGATATCAGAGGTCAAAGATCAACTCAATGAAATAAAACGAGAAGGTAAGATTAGAGAAAAAAGAGGTAAAATAAATGAACATAGCCTCCAAGAAATTATGGGATTATGTGAAAAGAACTAATCCACTTTGACAGGTGTACCTGAATGTGACAGAGAGAATGAATCCAAGCTGGAAAACACTCTTCAGGATATTATCCAGGAGAACTTCCCCAACCTAGCAACGCAGCCAGTACTGAAGTCCAGGAAATACAGAGAACATCATAAAGATATTCCTCAACAAGAGCAAGCCCAAGCAACATAATTCTCAGATTCACCAGTGTTGAAATGTAGGAAAAAATGCTAAGGGCAGCCAGAGACAGAGGTCAGAATACCCACTAAGGGAAGCCCATCAGATTCACAGTGGATCTCTCAGCAGAAACCCTACAAGCTAGAAGAGAGTGGAGGCCAATATTCAGCATCTGTAAAGAAAAGAACTTTCAACCTAGAATCTCATATCCAGACAAACTAAGCTTCATAAGTAAAGGAGAAATAAAATCCTTTATGAACAAGTAATTGCTGCGAGATTTGGAAGTTCTAGACAGAGCAATCAGGCAAGGAAAAGAAATAGAGGGTGTTCAATTAGGAAGGAGAAGTCAAATAAATTGTCTCTATTTGCAGATGACATGATTGTATATTTAGAAGACTCCACCATCTCAGCCCAAAATCTCCTTAAACTGATAAGCAACTTCAGCAAAGTCTCAGGATAAAAATCAATGTGCAGATGTCACAAGCATTCCTATACACCAAAAACAGACTAAAAGAGAACCAAATCAAGAATGAACTGCCATGCACAATTGCTACAAAGAGAAAAAAAATACTTAGGAATACAACTAACAAAGGATGTATAGGACCTCTTCAAGGAGAACTGCGAACCACCGCTCAAGGAAATAAGAGAGGACACAAACAGATGGAGAAACATTCCATGCTCATGGTTAGGAAAAATCAATATTGTGAAAATGGCCATATTGCCCAAAGTAATTTATACATTCAACACTATACCCATCAAGCTACCTATGGCCCTCTTCACAGAACTGGAAAAAGTCACCTTAAACTTCATATGGAACCAAAAGGAGCCCACATAGTCAAGACAATTCTAAACAAAAAGAACAAGGCTGGTGGCATTATGCTACCTGACTTCAAACTATACTACAAGGCTGCAGTAATCAAAACAGCACGGTACTGGTGCTAAAACAGAGACACAGACCAATGGAACAGAACAGATGCCTCAGAGGCAAGGCCAAACATCTACAACCATCTGATCTTTGACAAACCTGACAAAAACAAGCAATGAGAAAGGATTCCCTGTTTAATAAACGGTGTTGGGAAAACTGCCATGTGCAGAAAGCAGAAACTGGACCCCTTTCTGACACTTTACACTAAAATTAACTCCAGATAGGTTAAAGACTTAAACATAAGGCCTAACACCATTAAAACCCTAGAAGAAAACCTAGGCAAAACCATTCAGGACATAGGCATAGGCAAGGACTTCATGACTAAAACACCAAAAGCACTGGCAACAAAAGCCAAAATAGACAAATGGGATCCAATTAAGCTCCAGAGCTTCTGTACAGCAAAAGAAACAATCATGAGAGCAAACCGGCAACCAACAGAAAGGGAAAATATTTTTGCAATCTACCCATCTGACGAAGGGCTGATATCCAGAATCTACAAAGAACTAAAACAGATTTATAAGGAAAAAAACAAACCCATTCAAAAGTGGGAGAAGGACATGAACAGACACTTTTCAAAAGAAGACATATATGAGGTCAACAAACATAAGAAAAAATGCTTATCATCACTGGTCATTAGAGAAATGCAAACCAAAACCACATTTAGATACCATCTCATGCCAGTTAGAATGGCGATCATTAAAAAATCTGGAGAAAACAGACGCTGGAGAGGATGTGAACAAATAGGAACACTTTCACACTGTTGGTGGGAGTGTAAATTAGTTCAACCATTGTGGATGACAGTGTGGTGATTCCTCAAGGATCCAAAAATAGAAATTCCATTTGACCCAGCAATCCCATTAGTGGATATATATCCAAAGCATTATAAATAGTTCTGTTATAAAGACACATGCACATGTATGTTCACTGTGGCACTGTTTACAATAGCAAAGACCTGGAACCAACCCAAATGCCCATCAATGATAGACTGGACAAGGAAAATGTGGCATGTGTACACCATGGAAAACTATGCAGCCATAAAAAACGAGTTTGTGTCCTTTGTAGGGACATGGATGAATCTGGAAACCATCATTCTCAGCAAACTGACTCAAGAACAGCAAAACAAACACCGCATGTTATCACTTACAGGCGGGTGTTGAACAATGAGAACACACGGACACAGGGAGGGGAGCATTACATACTGGGGTCTGTTGGGGAGGAATATGGGAGGGACAGTGGGGGGTAGGGAGGCTGGGGAAAGATAACATGGGAAGAAATGCCAGATACAGGTGACGAGGGGATGGAGGCAGCAAACCACATTGCCATGTATATACCTATGCAACAATACTGCATCTTTTACACATGTACCCCATAACCTAAAGTGCAGTAAAAAAATTATATATATAAGATTTAGCTTATTTCATTCTAAGATTTACACTTGCCAGGCATGGTGTAAAGACACATGCACATAATCCCAGCACTTTGGGAGGCTGGGGCAGGCAAATCACCTGAGGTCAGGAGTGTGAGACCAGTAGAGATGGGGTTTTAACAATGCGAAACCCAGTCTCTACTTAAAAAGTACCAAAAAAATTAGCTGTGTGTGGTGGCACATGCCTGTAGTTCCAAGTACTCAGGAGGCTGAGGCATGAGAATCACTTGAACTTGGGCAGCAGAGACTGCAGTGAAGATCATGCTACTGCGCTCCTGCCTGGGTGACAGAGTGAGGCTCTGTTGGAATTTAAAAAAAAAAAAAAAAGATTTAAACCTAAAAAAAGTTTATTT